CGACACCGCGTGAGTCACAGTCCCAACGAACGTGCAATCGCCGGAATACCCAAACTTACCGTGGAACCGTAATCCTCAGAATTGCCGGAGAGCCATCGTATCGCACCCAAATCTTCACGGCAGCAAAATCGCCTTTCCCGGCTTTCAGATCAACAACCATCTCCCCAATTAACACCTCAATCTCCGGGCCACTGCGCTTCAAAAGATGTCGCACCGCGTGAGTCACAGTCCAAAGTGCAATCGCCAGAATCCCAATTCCGTGGAACTGTATCCTCAGAATTGCCGGAGAGCCATCGTATCGCACCTAAATCTTCACGGCAGCAAAATCGCCTTTCCAGGCTTTCAGGTCTGTCGCCTGCACCGTCATTCATGCCACTGCGAGCTGCACTGCAGCCGAAATCATATACATCCCAGCGCCCGCATTTACCACATCCAGATTTTCGATATAACAAGCCCAGAGCTTTGCCTCCATCGGCACCACCACCACCAACGTTTGCGCGAGAGCCAGCATACTCGTTCTCATGGCCACAGCTTGCTCCCACTGCACCAGCCACAATACAGTTGGCCAAATCACGGTCCGGGATCGCGTACAACCCATCGAACCCCGCACGGGACTTGCCTTACCGTTCGGATGGGAACACAGCACACACAGCAAACTTGCCTGGCTGGTCAGATCAGACAACAGCACAGAGTGTACCTCGACAGCCTGACATGGCGAGAGTTGGGCGTGTGCATGGTGTTGAGCGACAGGACCTGCCACGTGGTAGTGTTGTACGACATATGACAGGGAGGAAGATTGTGAATAGCTCTTACTTTCTCGACGCTCTGGCTAAATCATCAGCAGATAGAGACATGAAAGAACCCTCGATAACAACTACAAGTGCATATTCGTCACAGGACAGCACGAGGACTCGTCCATATACAGCGAGAAACCGACCCTGGTCTACTTTGGATGAAAATGTCACTAGCTCGTTTCGAAGCAAAGCAACCACTGCAATACTTAAATCCGAGGAGGAAGCTGGAAAGGCTAAGCGCGGCAAATTGTAGTATCGGTGATGGGTGCACAAATACACAGTACTCTTATATATGCTTCTGTATACTTAGATGATTCAATCTAGTGTGCAACTATTAGTTTTCTCTGTCGGTTACCGAGAAATCTGTATACAACCGCAGATTTCAACGGTCTGTGCCATCTCATAATGTCAAGTTAGAAATCATTCACTAACTTACTAGGACCACCAAGCCACTACGCGTAACTCGTATATCAAAATCTGACAGATGTACTACGGAAATAAATTCTGCATCATTACGTGTATCGGAAGGAGCTGGAGGCGTTTATTTTATTTATAACCAGGGGGTTTTATATTTATATTTATAAACAGGGTGACATTATCAAGATGGTTTTTGATACAGATGCTGCGGTATACCAACTCGATAGAGATTGTGTCGACTACCGAAATAAACGAGACGCTCAGTAAAATCGCCGCCACATAATGATTTAAAATGGTATGTCTGACAGATGAAGTTGACAATCATCAAATGGTCAAGCACAAGTGCCGAACATCGTGCTTATCAAACTTTAACAAATTCGTGCGCATAGCAGTACTCGTGTATCGTCAATATACAGTTTCGCTGAAGTCCCATTGTGGTACCCAAGTACATTCAGCTTAAGTGTCCTCTCGTTTTAATATCAGTGATGACGTTTCCTATCTATCTACTTTCCGCATTAAGCAAAATGTACATCTTTACTTCTAATTACTGCTGATCCTTGCAAATACAAATACTACTGAACAGCCATAAGTTTTCAGTCCTGCCACGAACGCTACAGTTGCCATAGTACCATTGTTGGTTATAAAAGTGAGATCTAATATAAGATTGTATACTGCGATACCAAAATGCTTTTGCGCCACATATTCCTGGTGTTGCGAGTAAAGAATAAATATAAAACATGTGCGACAATCCGTTGCTAATCTTTCGGAATTAGAAACAGGCTGAACATAGCACAGCTGTAATTTTCCTACTAATAAAGTTGTTATATTCGCGATAATCTGCAAAGTTAGAACGTGTGCACTTCATCATACTCCTTATCAAACAAATTGGTTCAAACCTGGACAGAATATATTGTGCGGTTGCGGTGTGGATTATGTCATAGTCCTTTTTGACCTGCTCGGCTTCATAGGTGTCTTCTACGGTTATGGCCTCTGAGGACATAACTTTGCAAGGGATATGAAATTAGATCCCAGTGATTATTAAATCTGTCAACACCATTTATGGACGGCCTCGCCAATGATAGTATTACAAAGTTTGTCGTATCATATCTTTACCTTTGTATACATTATCAGGTTCCGTAATAATGGTCCGGCCCGGCAAAGCCCTTGTTTTAAACTAGTAGCGGCATCAGATTTTCAAACATAATTTTAAGCGAACGGCTATATTGAAGCAGCCGTTGGAAATACAACTTTATTTTCCACAAAAACTGACATATATTTCGATTGAGGTAGTAAAGCGTGTCATGTCGATAATCGGTTGGAATATAAACCGACCGTGTGGCAAATAGTCAATTTTGTGTACTCATAAAAATAAGAGATAGTATGTATAAATTTGTACCTTTAGCACCTGTACTTTACGCCCTCTATAAAGTAATTCGACCATATCATAATTAAATTATTTGACTACAGTGAATACACTCGAGTGGTAGGTGAGAGCTACAGGTTTCAGACAAGATTTTATAGCAGGAATTTATTCGAGAATGAAGTCTCTTAGCTCGCTCCCGAGAGTTAAATTGATTTCCTAACCGACTGTCGAGAGTAGATTGAGTTTTTGAGAGTTGAAGAACCACGCAATCTGAAAATAGTTACGCCCCTATGTGAGTCATGGCTTATGCGAAAGAACATCATATATACAATGGCTGAGAAGTCGAAACAGAATAGCATCCAAGTGGTAAAGTGATCTGCAGAAGATTTCTCGTACTGGCCAACCCAAGTTGTTGAACACTAGCAGAATCACTTCAGGTATAAAATCAAAGGTGAGGTCAGAAATAAAGATATACTTTTGCACTTTATTTTAAGTCTACCACTTTTAATATACTCTAACAAATGATACAATAATGCACGAGTACGACAAGTATACGTGCAGGTATTTTGGCACACTCCAACAAGCTGATATCTCGACAGGTTTTAGGTATTTTTAGGTATCATTCGAATCCTATATTAAAAACAGAAATAGAACATTCAAAAATTCCAAATTTGTACTCACAGTAGATACATGTATTATATTAAACTACATAGAATATCACAACGAAATCAACAGGATATATAGATGATTCACACGAGTCTATATCACACACAAATGCTGACTTTAAAAGTGTGATGAGTGATAAAAAGGATTTCAGATATAAATCGACTACATGGCGAATGGTATAGCGTGGTCAATGTTTTTGGTGAAACTGGTATGTATGTACAAGTTCTGACCGTTGCTTCTCGTCAAGTGTCTAAAACCGAGAAGTTTAAGACGAGTGATAGTTTATATGTATCAGCGTATACCTGACGATGTTAAGGATATTCTAGCTATATCGGTCGATACGTTGTTTATATGTATGAAGGACATAGAAGTTAAACAGTGTTAGCAGCACAAACGCACTTGGCATGTGCCAATGTCATCTACTGGATGACCGAGATTAGTAGGAATTTGCGAACGATGTCAACTACTTTAGAACACTATTTTTTCCGCAATGATGACTACATCCTCGAATAGTGAAATCTCAGATTATCTTTTAATTGTATTAACAAGAAATCGCGTGAACGCCTACGTAAGAACCTAGTGATTACAAACAAACTGTTCGCTGATTCAAGTTAAAAGGCTAAGCAGGTATGCATTCATTTTCGGGTATGAAGTTTTGATTCTCTTTACATAGAGAGATACTTCTTAGATCCAGAACCAATAAGCGTGCGTTTAGTTAAGCAGGCCGAACTGTGAGTGGCAAATGAATAAAGTAAACAGGCAACTAGCTTGTTACAATTTATGCATGCTAATAGCAGACTTTGACAACACTATGTACAGGGAATACAAATATAACCC